ACTGTTACAGTATATATTGAGACTTTGAACGAGATGTTGTAGTTCTACTAGCGTTCCCGTTAGGAGAACTGTATCGTCAGCATACCTTATATTGTTGATCGTCTCACCATTTATTATCAGACCAAGATCTTCTTCCTCGAGTGCTTGTTCACAGATAGCTTACTATCTATCACTTACTTTCCGCCAATTTCGTCTTCATGATTTTAATAGAAAATTTATTAAGAAAGCTTAACATCTAGGCCATGCAAGTCTCATGCAAGTCCGTCCTGCAAGGCATATCTCTTGCTTAGCCTGATCTGTTTACATCAGAGCTATTTTGAGATACCACTTTTAGTGTAGTCAACAGAAGAAATACAGTAGGGCTTCGTTAATCCGGAGAGGTAAAAACAAGACCCTTTGCAGATTATCAAGGCATCCATATTATAGAATGCTATATTTAATGGCAATAAAATATATGTTTAACCTTTTAAGTTTCTTTAATCGATTTTTAAATTACAGTATAAAGAAATAAATGCAAATATTCAAAATTGCAACCTTACAGGAAAAATAGTGAGTTCAAATAAAACATTAGTTAATTTTGCTTGAAAAAATCTGTAATGATCTTATGTTTATAATTTACGCACTATATTTCAAAATCCCAATCTCTTCTTCTTCTTCTAAATGTGCCTATATTCTAGATATGTTGGCGACCACATTGACCCATTCACAACAGCTCGAAATAGATCAGTTGACGTTAGACCATTCCATTTTCTAAGATTTGCTAGCCAGGATATACGTCTACGTTCAGGGCCTCTCTGACCCTCAATCTTGCCCTGTAGAATCAACTATATAAGTCGGTATTTATCATTACTCATGATGTGGCAGAAGTAAGCCAATTTTCTGTTTTTTTTATGGTGTTAACAATTTCTTTGTCGTTTCTTGGCCTCTGGAGAATAGTTATGTTACTAGTGTGGTGTATATACAAGACCCTCAATATACGTCGGTAGCACCACATTTTAAATGTCCCCAGTCGTTTTATGGAATCTTCTGTAGGGCTCCAGCTTTGCACTCAATAGAAGACGACACTAAAGACGTAACACCACTAACACCTAAGAATCCTTATGCGTATATTGATACTTAAAGATAAGTTGCGGAGAATCTTCCTACGGCTGTTGAAAGAGCTTCTGGCTTTTTCAATATGAGTTTTTATTTAGTAGCTGTGATCCCAAGTATCCTTAATATTGCAGCCCAAATAGCATATTTTTTTCACTCTTTCTAACGGTGTATCATTAATTGTAATTTTGGCGTTTATGCCGGTGTTCTTACTAATGATCATTATTTTTGTCTTCTTGTAATTTAGTTTTAGGTCTCATTTGTTACATGCCTCTACAACGTTATCCATCATCCTTTGGAGCCCCACAATGTTTTAGTCAATCCTAGTACTCGTCAATATCATTGGTGTTTGTATTCAATTTGCTGCAGTTTACATGCAGTTCATGTTGGAGGCATTCTTTTACTTTCTTCTTCTTAACGTACCCTATCAAGTCCCCTTGACGTTGGCCATTAACATGGCGAAACTGTCTCTGTCTCGAGCTATTCTAAAGAGTTGCTCAGCTTTCTTTATTCCTGTCCACTCTCTGATATACTTCAACCAAGAGGCCTGCTTTCTACCAATTCCTCTGCGTCCTTCGATTTTACTCATCATAATAAGTTGAAGAATATTATATCGGTCTCCCCTAACTACGTGTCCAAAATAGGCCATCTTTCTACATTTAATGTTATCAAGCAGCTCGCGAGCAGCATTTGCTCTCTCAAGGACTGCCACATTTGTCAGCATAGCCGTCCATGGAATTTTTAGTATACATCTGTGCAGCCACATTTCAAAGGCCTCCAGACGATTAATGGTGGATATTTTTAATGTCCATGCTTCGACACTGTATAAGAGGACTGACCAAATGTAGCATTTAACCATACGCTTTCGAAGTTGAAGTTTCAAGTTATCATTACAGAAGAATGACCTCATTTTTAAAAATTTCGTGCGGGCTATCTCGATTCTACATTTTATCTCTTGATCTAGATCTAGTTATTCAGTAATATGGCAACCAAGATATTTAAAGCTGGACACTCTTTGAATTATATGACCATCAACATATAATCGTGCATCTTGATGTGCTAAACGGCTAAACACCATGTGTTTTGTTTTTGAACAGTTTATGTTTAGGCCAAACTCTCTTCCCACTGTATCAATGGCATTTAAAAGGCATTGTAATCCATTCATGTCATCACTTAAACAGTATCGTTTACATATCTGATTGTATTTATCAGAATTCCATTAACTTTCACGCACCATTCCAAATTATGCAGCGTTTCTTTAAATATTCTATCTGAATATAAATTAAATAACAGTGGGGATAGTATACAACCCTGTCTGACACCTCTTTGTATTTTACATATTTCTGTTGATTTTCCGTTTATGCAAGCTGTCGCTGTTTGACGCCAGTATAACTTTTCTATGAATCGTATGTCTTGACTATCAACTCCTTTATCTTTTAATATTGTAATTAATTTGTGATGCTTTACTCGATCAAAGGCCTTTTTATAGTCAATAAATACAGCAAAGATGTCTTTCCTTTAAAAAAAAGAGGTTAGTCTTCGTAAGTGGGTATATTTATTTAAAAACCCTTAAAAGGGCTACATAAAAAAAACAAACGTTTTTGGACTAAACAGTCCATCATCAGGTTTTAAAATCGCTAGGAGAAACTCCAGAGTTTACAGCTGCTCTCCGTGCGTAGAGGTTTTCTCCCCGGCTCTGGAACTCAATTTTTGCAATGTATGTTACCTGAAGTCATATTTAATTTAATACTGAACATCACAGTTTTTTAACAACAAGATGTATAATCTTTTATAACTATATGTAATTTAAAGGGTTTTTACCCATGTATTTTTGGTGGCTCAGGAATTTAACCTAGCGATTTTAAAACCTGATGATGGACTGTTTAGTCCGAAAACGTTTGTTTTTTTGGAGTAGCCCTTTTAAGGGTTTTTAAATAAATATACCCACTTACGAAGACTAACCTCTTTTTTTGTGATACGTGGTATACAGCCAGCTACAGGAATTATTTTCCTTGTGGATTTTGTCTTTCCTTCGATCTCGACATTTCTGCAGTAATACATTTAGTGCAAAGAGGGCGTCCCGAGTTCCCAGTCCATTTCTGAAGCCAAATTGTGTTTCATCCTGATCTTCTTCACATTTATCTCTGATTCTACTGTGGATGATGCGTAGAAATATTTTTAAATTGTGGCTCATAAGGCTTATCATTCTATAATCGCTACAGTTTTTTCGGACGTTGTTTTTTTGGTAGTGTTATGAATTCGGACTTTAACCAATCTTCAGGGATATCACCAGTCGAATAAACATCATTGAAAAGTTTGACCAGTATTCCAATGTTCTCCTTATTTATAAGCTTTAACATCTCTGTCGGTATGTTATCAGGGCCAACGGCTTTCTTGTTCTTTGCTAACTTTATAGCATGCAGTATTTCTGATTTTAGTATTTCTGGTCCTTCACCTTCAACTAAAGTCTCCGGTTCTTCGGGTCTATCATCATTATACAGTTCATTTATATAATTACACCAGGTTGTTCGAATTTCATGTTCGTCTATTATCATATTTCCCGACGAATCGGTTATAGTATGTGGAGTTTTCTTATGATAAAGACCAGCTATTTCTCTAACTTTTTTAAACATATTAAACATATCATATTTTCCAATAAACTTTTCTAATTCCTTGCATTTATCCTCCATCCATTTTTCTTTAGCCACCTTTATTTTTTGTTTAATTAGTTTCTGTTTTTCCTTATATTCTGTCTTGTTACCTTTCAGTTTCCTTCTCTGCTCCATTAATTCCAGGATTTCATCAGTCATCCATTGTTGTTTTTTGTGAATGTCTAACGTTGTTGAATATTTTTCTATTACTTTCAAGGTAAGATCTTTAAATGTGTTCCATATTTCTGTGTTGTTTTCATTTATTGATTTCTTTAGCTCATTGTTTAAGTCATTTTCTCTTAACGTTTTGTTGGATATGGAGATATTTAATTTTGGTGTTTTGGGGCTTTCTTGGACTTGTTTGAGCTTTAGGTTCTTTAAATTTTCTTGTGTCTATTGTAGGGATTCTTTGATGTCTTTTAATGTTTTTAAGGGTGAGTGTAATCTTGACGATAAGTAGATTGTGATCTGAGGCCACGTTTGATCCAGAATATGCTTTCACGGCTTTAACAGCATTACGGTATCTTTCATTGATCATAATGTAGTCTATCTGGTTCCTGACTACTTTCTCTGATGTATCTGAGGACGATCGCCATGTATACAGTCGTCTGTTTGGTAACTTGAAAAATATGTTTGTAATAATAAAGTTCTGATTTTGACAGAATTGAAACAGACGGACTCCTCTCTCGTTTAGATTTGCCAGACCATAGTTTTCTATACACTTTCCGCTTTGTCCCTTTCCAATCTTTGCATTGAGATCATCTAGAACTATCGTGATTTCTCTTGTTTTCGTTATTCTAAGTGCCTCTTTGATATCTCGGTAAAATAATTCTACTTCTTCGTCGGCATTCGCCGTAGCCGGTAACCCTGGACAAGGGACCCTGAACAGGCACTAGTTACCCTAGTCAGGAAACCCCCGGAATCTGCGGAGGGCAGGGATTGATTAATTTTCCCTGATAGAACTATCTTCAAGAATTTAAAGAGTTCCTACACGCTACCTATCATCGGATCAACAAGTGAAATCTTAGAAAAAAAATGTAAAATTTAACAATTGGTAAAATTCCTTAAAGACATTAATAAACTTATTTATGAGGCAATTATCTCATTTATATATTTATATGTCGCTAATAATCGCAGAGGTTGATGAGACAATGTTTGTAAATAAAAAAAAATATCTTTATAGATGATTTTTAATTTTATTATAAGACAGATTTTTCCAGTACTTCAGTATACATATTAACTTTGATCTGAGCTACAAACTAAATAAAACTTAGATACAAAATATAGCGAAAACACTATTATTTGGTTATTAAAAAAATACGTACATAAGTTTTTAAATAAATTAAACAACTTAATTTTTAAAATTATCTCCGCCGCTGGACAGAGAGTACAGTATTAGGGTTGGTATTGTTCGTCACTTGGTCCACCCAGTATGGATTGTCTCCCCTATCAAAATCCTAGCCAGATTGGAGATAAGACAGCTTCATTTATAGTAATTGTCAAGTTTTACTTCAGTGTTCCGTCCGAGTTACCGGCGTCAAGGTTAATAACAAATAAAAAGTCCGCTTTTTTAAACTGAAACGAAAACACGCGCAACTTTTTTATTTTTCGAGGATCGTACGTGTACATTCTAGATAAACAATTCTGAAATTTTTCTTCTTCTTCAACAGTGGTGTTTCGTTGCGGATCTGATAAGTTTGTTGTTGTGTCTGGTTTTTTAAATATTGATAAGAACTTTTACGTTCTTTGAAGAAGGTTGATTCCATATCAATCTGGCCACAACGTTGTAAGTTATTTTTATTTTATTCTGTAATCTGCACAACTTTTGTGTAATTTTAAAAATAGCCAGTGTTTTACAAAATGAAATTAATAACACAGGCCTACATTTTTATTATTGTTCTGAAGCTATTTTCTTGTGGCATTGTAAATTAATTACTATTTATAACTGGGAGTAAACCACAATTACAGATAAAAATACGTTTATTGACGTTTCAATTTCCAATTCGGAAATCGTTCTCAAAATACAAACAGTAAATTAAACAAATTTTGTTTTTTGTTACATAGTGAAAAATTCTTCTAATAATTTAATTTTATCTGACTCATTTATATTGACAATTCAGACATACATTATGCATTTTAAAGTAGACGACTTTAAAATGATATTGCCAATATTGTTGAGTTGCGCTTCTGGGACGACTTTACTTATAAGATAGTTCATTCGATTACATGAAATCAACTTTAACTTGAGAATATCCGTCAGAAAAAATCATAGCATGTAATTCGTCTTTAAAAAGACAAACACATGACATGATGACAGTAAAATTCTCCTGTTAGTGATTCCATAGTAAATTATGAGGGAAAAACCAGGAAAAAAACATCATAATACTATCCCGACATTGTAAGTATTTGTTCGTGAATTTAGTTTACCTTCAACAGACATCAAAATTCTGATTTTATATGTTACGTTATTTAAAAAACATAAATTATGTCCCCTCTATATGTTACTGACTTACTAATACTGGTATTTTCTTATTAATAACTTCCTCTTTCAATATTGATAAGCAGATCCTACTACATTCTGCCGAGGAATTTGCGACACAATTGACCTCATTTAGCATAATTAGAGCCGCTTCTTTGATTTTTCTTTTTTTACCATCCGTTTCTTTTAGGACTATATTTGAATTATTCCATTGAACCCTATGTTCATTATCCCATGCGTGTTTAACATATTTGAGATCTATCAAATTCTCTATTTTTAATATAAGATTGATGTTCACTTATTCTAACATTTAATGGCCTTGATGATTCACCTAAATAAAACTGATCGCATTCACAAGGTATTTTATAAATGCAATTCTTTGTCCTTTCTTGTTCATTGTCAGGTTTGGTTTTGGACAAAATAGATCTCAACGTGTTTGTTGTTTTGAATGTTGTTGAAATGTTGAATTTATTTCCTATCCTTTTAAGTTTTTCTGATAATCCTTTTATGTACCATCTGGTTACTAATGTTGAAAGAGGAAGTTATTAATAAGAAAATACCAGTATTAGTAAGTCAGTAACATATAGAGGATACATAATTTATGTTTTTTAAATAACGTAACATATAAAATCAGAATTTTGATGTCTGTTGAAGGTAAACTAAATTCACGAACAAATACTTACAATGTCGGGATAGTATTATGAGGTTTTTTTCCTGGTTTTTCCCTCATAATTTACTATGGAATCACTAACAGGAGAATTTTACTGTCATCATGTCATGTGTTTGTCTTTTTAAAGACGAATTACATGCTATGATTTTTTCTGACGGATATTCTCAAGTTAAAGTTGATTTCATGTAATCGAATGAACTATCTTATAAGTAAAGTCGTCCCAGGAGCGCAACTCAACAATATTGGCAATATCATTTTAAAGTCGTCTACTTTAAAATGCATAATGTATGTCTGAATTGTCAATATAAATGAGTCAGATAAAATTAAATTATTAGAAGAATTTTTCACTATGTAACAAAAAACAAAATTTGTTTAATTTACTGTTTGTATTTTGAGAACGATTTCCGAATTGGAAATTGAAACGTCAATAAACGTATTTTTATCTTTAATTGTGGTTTATTCCCAGTTATAAATAGTAATTTACATTTTTATTATTATGAAAAAGTGTTTCAAGTCGAATAGGTGTCCTATAGTAAATGGGATGTGCTGATCACGAATCTGTACTTAGTTTTTTTTTCAAGCACGTCAGGTTTTCAAGAAAAGTGTGTTTGAAATTTTTCATAGAAACTGCCAAAAATACTGAGAAAATATTTATTGAAACCTTATTTAATATAAAATTACACTACAAAATTGAGTTGATAAAAAAATTCAGTATAACCTACGTTAGACAATATTTGTTGTTTTTTTAATAAAGCCGTTCTCTTTTTCCATGAAACCTGCATTTTGTGGTCTTCTTTTTATGTATTTTTGTGATTGAGTCTCTCTTCAAGGTCCAGCAGTAATCAGCCATCATTCTTATATCCCATCTTCTTTCGTAACGTCTTTCCATCTCCTTTATGTCTTGATGAAATCTTTCTTCCAGCTCCTCGCTGACAGCTCCAAGATTTTCGGGAAAATAATCAACGTGGTAATCCAAAAAATGAAGTTTGATTGCATCCCAGTTTTTTTTTTAATTTTCGACCATGTTAGCTACAATTTATTTATAGTCTGAAGACTTGTTGTTTCCAAGAAAATCGTCTATGAGTTCTACGAAAGAACTTTATGCTTCAGATTCATCCTGGGTCATTGTATTCTGGAACAATCTGTCCGATTTTAAGGTTCGAATTTTAGGACCTACAAAAATTCCTTCTTAAGTTTAGCTTCAGAAAGTGCAGGAAATTTGTCGCACAGATATTTAAAGCAGTTACATTGTTTACCTAAAGCTTTGACAAACTGCTTCATTAATCCTAACTTTATATGAAGAGGAGGCAAAATAACTAATTTTAGGTCAACTAGTGTATCACGTTGCACATTTTTTTGTCCCGGTACTAGTCTTTTTCTGAGTGGCCACTCTTTCTTAATGTAATGTAAATTTTCTGCTCGAGTGTCATTTCTTCTTCAAGTGCCGTCTCCATCAATGGAGGTTAGCGGTTATGGTGGCAAACGTTTGTCTATCTTCAGCTGCTCTTAAGAGTTCCTCAAATCCAAGTCCTGTCCAGTTTCTGATATTACGTAACCAGGACAATTTTTTTCTTCCAATTCCTCGCTTTCCTTCTATTTTGCCTTTTGTTATCAACTGAGGGATGTAGTATTTCTCGTTGCGCAACAAATGCCCTAAATAACTGGTTTTTCTTCTTTTGACTGTTCTCAATAGTTCTAAATTGAGTGTAGCTAGTACTTCTTCATTTGTTTTTCGTGCTGTCCAAGGAATTTTTAAAATTCTACGGTACACCCACATTTCAAATGCCTCGATTCTATTCAGGCTCTTTATTTTTAAAGTCCACGTTTCGACTCCGTAGAGAAGAACAGACCAGATAAAACATTTTACAAGTTTTAATCTCAATTTAATATTTATATGTGTATCGCAGAATAGAACGCGCATCTTAAAGAAACTATCCCTAGCTTGAGCAATTCTCGCTTTAATTTCTTGTTCTGGGTCCAGCTTGCAATTAATCCAATAGCCAAGGTATTTGTATTGGTTTACCTGTTCTAAAATATTCCCATTTATTTTTATAGGTAAGGGATATTCTGTTTTCTTTGGATCACCATTACTTTTTTTTTCGTTGATCTTCATTCCAAACTCTCGACAAGCATCCTTAAGGTGGTCTATAACCCTCTGTAAGTTTGTGTCTGTATCAGCCAGTAAGACAGTGTAATCTGCATATCTTATGCTAGATATTGGTTCTCCATTAATTTTTATTCCTGTGGAAAGGTTTTCCAAGGCTTGCTTGAATAGTAGTTCCGAGTAAAGATTGAACAGCATAGGGGATAGTATGCATCCTTGCCTTACTCCTTTATTTATACTAATATTTCTAGATGTATGATCGTCGATCCTAATCTTGGCACTCTGCCTCCAATATAAGTTTTTAATTAATCGGAGATCTTTACTAACCAAGTTGATGCTCTGCAAGGAATTTAACATTTTATTATGGTTTACGCGATCAAATGCCTTTTCAAAGTCTACAAAACATAGAAAGACATCCTTTTGTTGGTCGTAACACTTCTGCAGCAGTACTTGTAGTGAAAACAAGGCCTCTCTGGTCCCCATTCCGTTTCCGAATCCAAATTGATCGTATCCAACTTCTTTTTCACACCATTTGTATACCCTATTGTGAAGTATTTTTAATAGAATTTTAAGCACTTGGCTCATAAGACTTATTAATCTAAAATCTGCGCATCGCCTGGAGTTAGCTTGTTTTGGAATGGGAATAAAAATAGATTCTAACCATTCCTCTGGTATTTCCCCAGTATCGTAGATTGTATTAAACAAAATTACTAACAAATCAATGTTATTACTTTCGATCAATTTAAGTATTTCAGGATAAACTTCATCAGGTACAGGGCTTTTGTTGGTCTTTAATTGTTTAATGGCATATTCCACTTCGACTTTTAGAATTGGTGGGCTTTCAGTAACATTATTTATTGTAATGTCTATTCTTTCATCTCGGAACAGCTGTTGTATTAATTTTTCCCATTCTTCTATTTTATCTTTGGTGTTATGAATTAACTCTCCGTTGTTATTTACCAGTGGGCAATGTTGTTTTTTGCGGATGAATGAAAATTCTTTCACCTTCTTGTACATATTAAAGTAATCTTGTCTATGTTCTAATTCTTCTATTTCTTTACATTTTTCTTCGAGCCATTTCTCTTTTGATTCTTTTATTTTCCTTCGTATTTCTGTATTTAATCGTTTGTAATCGATTGTGTTCTTATTCGAGTGTCATACTCGTATAAAAATATGGATACTATATAAATCTAGACTGCTGACCCAAAAGCATGGATATTATTCTGAGATCTTCACAGAATTGCCAACAATATTCGCTAAATTTTCTTTCAGATTCATGAAGTGAGCAACAAACACTGAGGCACAAGTATTACCATTGTGCAACAATGACACTCTTCAGACTTCTCTTAGAAGAATCATTAAATGACCGCCATGATGTGAAATCGTAATTGTCAGCTCCCAGTTTCATGACTACTTCAGAAATATTATGAAAATATCCGTGAGCCCTCTTGAGAAAAATATTCCACGAACTCTTTTTCAAGATTCCTATACCATGAAAATGTGGTACCTGGAGCCAATAGATTTTTATCTTTC